TCTGTTTACTCTATAACAACAAACGTAGCACCAGTGAAAAAGACGTAATACCCGTTAGCACGTCTTTTTATGCCTCGGTCAATTGAAAACCGCCTGCCTTAATTTGCGGTTTATATATTATACTTCATCAGTAATGAAAAACCTCTAATAGCGGCGGTGATATCAAATTTAAAAGTGGTCATTTGTCAAAGACAGGCTCAATAAGCGTTCGAAAGCATTAAGCGGAGCCGCACGCGACATAGCGGTGCGATAGTAAGGCGTTGCTATATGGAAGGGGCACTTGGAATCTCAGTCTATTTCAAGAGAGAGTCAATTAAGACTCCATAAAGGTTATTGAATAAAGGCTTAACGAAGGCTAGGAAACAAAGCGTGTTATGATCGCACGCTCTTTTCAGATCGAATAGATCACGTTTGGAACCAGCTGATTTGCAGTATGCTTATGTGAATCGCACCATTAAGCAAAGATTTGTCTAACAAAATTTGCATGTGAAATATCATAGTAGCGTCAAACGGTAGATTTACTGTTTTGTTAAGGATCTCTCGAAATATTTAGGGGGGCAGCTATAAGCACGTTTGTCAATTTTAAACACAAAATACTGAAATAAATAAATAATGGGAGAGTATAGAACTTAGTAAATGGAAGCCACACGAAGTGCCTGGTTTCTATGTCTTTTCACATTAATTTCATACTAATACGTACACACAGCACTTTGGTTTGGGTAGATAATGTTGGCTTGATCATGGAAGATTTATTTTCTCACCGTGAAAATAGTTTTCTTTCATCTGACTGCAGAATATGTAGATAAACCATGTTCAAAATTTGCTCAAGAGATTTTAAACCGTATTATGTCCAGGTTATTTAGACATTTTGAGTTGTATATTTGTTGAGGTTTCCGGAAAATAAAAACCACTTGACTGCATGACTGCACTTAGCTTCTAAAAGCTTCAAAGAGCTATGTCACATCACGAGGATATAGCTGTTTTAGGTCACCATTACACGTTTCTGGGAAACTGCCCACCTACCCCTCCCCTAAGCCTACAACAGCACTTACTTCTCACTTAGGGCAAAATGTTGGCTTAGGGGAGGGGTAGGCGGGCAGTTTGCCAGACACGTATAATGATCTAATAATTCTGTGCTAGAGTCATTAATTACTACCTTTATCAATACAAAAAATGCTCCTTTAGAGATTTTGGAAGGAAGATATCAAGTAAATTTCATCAGGGAGCACTGAACATAATAATTTTTTTGGTAATTTTTGCAGACATAGCGTGAAAACTTGAAATCCTTGGCCCAGCTGTTTCAAGTTTCAATCCATGTCTATCCTTGCCATCCGTCTCAATAGGTCACAGGAAACACTTTCAATGCCTAAATATAGTCTTAACTAACAAAACTGGACCATTATTTTTGGAACTCAATTTATGCGAAGACACGTTTCAGCTTGTTAAAGAGACAGAAAAAAAGTGGCGTAGCCCCTTTAAAATGCTTTGAGAGCTCTGGATCATACACATGCACATGTTGTCTTGTCGTACCTTACTACGACATTCTTAATGAATACTGATCCATTCTTTAAAAAATAGAGACAGTTTAAATTTTTTAACACGTTAAGTTGTATTGAAAGCAACTGGCGGAAAAATTGAACACGTGGTCATCTCTCTTGTCTGCCGTTTGCAGTATTAAAACGTGATATTTAATCTGCCCTTTTTCACTTGCGTCACAAAAACGAACCGTTTTGGGGGCAAAGACAACTGTATGTTACAAGTGCGTGTCTAAAAACGGAGTTGCACGTTACCTGCAGGCGTCCCAAAAGCAACTTATGGTCAAACAACAGGGATTTTCCATTTGCACTTAAAAATAAATGAGTGTAGTAAAAGAAACTGTTATTCCAAAGATTCATCTATCAGGCGCGGAAAAAGCAAGTGAACAGGCCCCCATAAGAGGTACTGAAAGTGGTGGAACTTCTTCTGAAGTTAGACCGCTTTAAAGTCAGCAAGATAATTTTTCAAAGCAAAATGCAGTGTTTTCCCCCTTTCTTTTGCCACACGTGGAATCTGTATTAATTTATTACCTCGCCAGTCCTAACAAGAAACTGGAAATTTATCAAGGCCCCTTCGAGGTAAGGCGCATTTGGAAAACTTCGCGTTCGTCTGGAAAAATCCTGTCTACGCCCCTGGCAGTCTGACTTGATCGGCAACGAAAGATAACAAACGGAGACATGCGCAGTTGCTTAAACGTTTTACACTACACTATCCAGCAAGGATGAAGATAAATTGGGTGACAAAAGACATGTGAATTAACTTAAAAAGTGCACTCAAGGCGAGACCCAGTCGAGAGGCCAAAACGGCGAAGCGATGCCGCTTTTGGTAGTATATAGCCGGCATAGAAGCTCTACTAATTCTCCAGGAACCTAAAAGTGTCGGTGGTAAATGTATTTCGATAAAGCGCGCATTCTTGTCACCCGGCAGAGCTCTTGTCCCTGCTAGCCCGAGGGGTCTTCCAAAGAGGGCCTCGAGAATGCTAAAACTGACAGAAAAAGAGTCTGGTGTTCTTCTATGAATCGGGTAGTCCCATAACCCTTATTCTTTTCTGCCGAGCTAAAATTCTTTTCAGAAAGTTTCTTATCTCCTTGAAACTCAGGCATCTCATTCCTATTTAGGAATGAAGCTCTTTTCGCGCTACCCAAAACGAGATCAGAAATTGAGCTCACTCTCCCAATCCGAGATATGGACATTCTTTCTTTTACCGTTGATTTAGACTTTCACTGCTTGGCGTTTAGAATGCGATTAGAAGAGGACTTTTGGTAATAAAGTCTACCTTCATTTTGAAGCTCAGCTGTCACGTGCCAGTCACTATATCCCGCGGGAAAATTCTTTAAATATTACACTCTCATTGTGAGGTGTCAACGACACTGTTTTGTCTTGAACACTACAATCAATCTTTGCGATCCTACCATTGCAAAAATTCGCCAAATTCAAGGAAATTAATATTACACTCTCATGGTGAGGTGTCAACGACACTGTTTTGTCTTGAACACTACAATCAATCTTTGCGATCCTACCATTGCAAAAATTCGCCAAATTCAAGGAAATTAAGCTCGAATGACAATAGCTTTTGCAGTTCGCGTGCCTTGCTTGAAAGCATCTCTATAAACTCCAGACTATTCACAAAAATAGATGACAAATATAAGAACCCGTATCAGTGAAAATAACTTTATTAAAAAATAATTACATTTCAACATGCATTTAATCTTTTATCTATTATAACAACCTTGGACCTCTCGTTATGTAATAAGTTGGTGTCTGACCCCTTAGTCAATACATCACTCTATAGAATGTGGCAATTCACATGAAAAACTATTGAAGAACTCAGTAATTACACAATACATCTGTTAATGACGCGCAAAGATTCGCGCGAAAACCGTTATAACACTTTCACTGCTTGTATCAAACTGATTTCAACTAAGTTTTTCTTTACTGGAAATTCGAGAAAACATGGTTTTTCTTTGGTAAGCATTTTGTTTACGAGTTCCACTGCATTGCTGTCTGAAAAACAGAGAGGGAAGAATTTAATTCAATGCAGTCTCATCCTCTTTTAACCTTTCTCTCCAGGCCAATCAAATCCTTGATTTAATTACAAAGTCATCTTCGAGAAACGGTTTGATAATGTGATCCTATCTGAAGAGAGGTCTCTGAATGCAGGTTCATGTTTTCTGAGCAGCATTTTTTAACCACTTTAAAACTACTGAGCCAGCCATAGAGAGGACAAAATTTTATAATTTTTGTTTTAAAAACTTTTAAGTCGTGCGTGATCATGATTTGGGGACCAAGACCTTCAACACCAACAATCGCCGTTGCAATCATCACCTAACTGATAGCTGCACAGAATGCTTTCAACAAGTGCATGGGATATGGAGGAAAAACACCCCTGTTCTTGACGAACTAACGATATTTACCAGGAGCTTGAACAAAATGACGAAAAACGAGTCAACCGTCGCTATATCCGTTTAAATGTCTAGTGCACGACATCCTGTTTGTACTGTGCACTCGAGCGCGCTGCTAATTGCTATACAAGGGTATCACGCTGTGAAGAAAATTTTGCAACGGAAAGACACATAAATACTCAATTATGATCCACGAGTACTAAGTATTTTGTTTTCCCATACATAAATTTCTCAAGCGATCGGGAGCACCTTCCGCCTTGTATTCCCAGTGTATGAATGCAACGATTAAAGTTCGCGTGATCTACCTCATGTCCGTCGCGTGATTCAAGTTTCATTTGTTTACAACATTTGAAATCACGCAAAATTTGGCGGCAAAAAACGCCGCTAAAACCGGCTTCTGTCTCAGCGTGAACAAGCGAAAATTCAGTTTGGATTCGTCGTAACTGCTATTTAAAGCTTTTTCTTAGGAATACGCAGAAATCTTTAAGTGGATTTCGTTCTGCCCACGTGGAATTTGCTCTTCCTGAGTGAATATTTACTTTCCAGCTGAAGGAAGACATAAAAATTGACTCAGCGTTATGAACAAAACTTTTAATGTATTGCGTGCTAGTCGTGCCTTCGAGAACAAATGAAGGTCATCGAAAAATAATTCGCAAGAAAAGAGCTACTACTCATTCATCATTACGTCTAGTACATGTGGAGAGATACTGCTGCGAACAGTTGTGTTTATTCCAATTGTAAAGGGCTACCGCTAAATACCACAGGCACGCATAGACCAAATTTGGAGGACACTGAACAAATATGAGGACTTGTTTTGTTGCTTACAAACCCGCGCAGAATACTTTGTTCCGCTTTTAAAAGCAACCATGTGCGAACAACAAGTATTTGAAAAATCGCACGCAAAGATTTGCCTCAAAGGTCACGGAGAAAATTCTTCAAATTCTCCCGCAGCTGAACAAAAACATTGATTAACCAATTTCACCTTCAGTTGCACTTCAATCGCAGCACAGCGAACAGCTTGATCTTGTCTACGCCAGGTAGCATACACGGTATATACCGACCATGTTGCAAAATATGAGCAAGCTTTCAACAGTGTTCATGTACTACGTTGGATCTGTTACACTGCTTCTCGCGTTTTCCATCTTTCGCCTATTGAAACTTTTTCCGTTTGCGCAGCCGATTGTCTATGAACTGTTTAACAAGATGGCGACGATTAAACTGCGTCGTGAAGACTTCGCGCACACGCTTTTCACTCGACCAATGTTCGAGTCAATGCGTTCCTCGATCTTACTGGAGCTTCAGAAAAGGGCGCAAGTAGGAAACCTGGCCCCAGACTCTCTCGTGCTTTCCGTCGATGGCAAGTCGAGCTATCAACTGTTAGACTTTTGCAAGGGAAACCGTCCACTGGTGATCAACTTTTGCAGCTGGACCTGTCCAGTTTTTCGAGCAAGAGTGGGAGAATACCTCAGCGTTGTGCGAGAGTTTAGTGACGTGGCTGATTTTCTGACGGTGTACATTGAGGAGGCTCATCCCAGCGATGCTTGGGCATTTGAGGTGCGGACTGTTTTTTGCCTTTTTCATGCATACTGTAAAGTGATTTTAGGGTAAATATCAAACCAACCAATCAACCCTTTGAGTCGGCTTTCGCAGCTTTCAAGTGCAAGTTGTTTAACAGCTATTCTATAGATTTTATTGATTTGATTTATTTGTCCTTCAAAAGAAAAGTGATTTGGCAATCAGAATTTTCAAATTTGTAGCAACCCTGAAAACCGGCAAATGAACGTTATCAAAACATCACCTTTCTTCAACAGGGGTGTTACTTGCATACATAATGAATCCGAGTGTTAACCGAAAGTTGTTTGAAATTCACAGCTACGAATTTACTACACAACTGCGATTTATTTCAGCGTAAGTTGATGATAAGTTTTCAAAAATCAAACATCTGCTTTCTTTTTGTACAAGAAAAATGCTTGCAATGCTGGTAAAAAATTCAGTTCAGGTCAGTTTAAACGTAGAACCTCAAGAAGTAGATCTCGACTTTTAGTTTTCCCACAGCGACAAAGAAATCAGTTGAAAGCACTTCATGGACTTTTGTTTTCATTTTTTACTATCATCTCTTACGAGATAAATACACGTTTCAAATTGCAATTGTAAAAGTTTTTTCTGAAAGGAAAGGGCGGTGTCGATACATCAAGTACCTAGAAACTAGAATGAGTTACATAGCTATGTACTTAGTTCGGTCACATCTCCTTGCAGAACAACGTCAGCATTAAAACACACCGAACTTTGGAGGAAAGATGTAAGGCGGCACAGATGATGATTGACTCCACTGCATTTCAATGCCCTGTTGTGGTGGACAACATGCAAGACACAGCAAACAAGGCGTATGCTGGAATGCCGATCAGATTGTATATCTTAAAAGGGCGGGAAGTGGAATACGCTGGCGGAATCGGACCTACGTTTTACCGTCTGGACGAAGTGACAGAATGGTTGCAGCGGAACAAAATGGCTTTGCTTCGAAATAACAGGCATAGAGCTTAATTCCATAACGCTATGTCACTTCCGTTGAGGAAAAAAAGAACAGACAACTAGTGACTGTCTTGTACAATCACTAGGCGGTGTTTTCTATTTAGTTGTAGAGGGTAGAGGACAACTTCACGCAAAAAGTGAACACTTTTAAGACTGTAAATAATTTTTATTTGTTAGGTTTCATATTTTACAAGTCAGACCATGAGTAGTATTTACATTGCTTGTGGCGGTCGTATACTCTCGGCTTGAAGTGGGTACAGAAGAACGTTGAGTGACCACTCGAACGATACTTATACTAAGTAGCCTAGTTTTCAGAAGAAATTTCTTCTCTAATCAGTCTTATTTCTTTTCTATAAACTTTCCAATCTTCTTTTCTCAATACCATAGAAAAGTAATGGTTAGACAAGTCAGACTAATAAGGAATTTTCGTTTAAATTCCCAACAAAAAGCGACCGAATCACAGGCATTCCAATCGCGTACATGCAACTGCCAAAAATGGAGGTGCAGATTTTGAAGTCGATTAAGTAGAACAAAACAAGCATCAATGAAAATACCCTATAGATCCGTATTAAGGTTAAACTCAAGAACATATTTTAATCGTTTTTGTATATAATTTGAAAATTCCGGGGAAATATACCTCACATTGAGGTTTCTGTTATGTTGTTTGAATGATCAAACGTGGGAGTCATCATGATCAAGTTGCCGGTATCAACTGTTTCAATGTAAGGACATCACGTCCATAACCTCAAGGGCATTCAATTAATTTGTTGCAAACAATGGCCAAATAAAAATGAAATAATTGTTAGGTGTTTGTTTTAGCACACGATATTAGCCATTTGGATAGTCTAGTGATGTCCCGACTATTTCTCAATTTGGATTTCACGAAAGTTCCAATGAATGCGCCTTTTTGTATTATATTGTAAAACTTCGCTTTCGTCATTTTACATTTATTTGTGTAACTTAGTTACAAAGTAGGTTCTAATGTCTAGAAATCAGGATTGTAAAATAGGTTCAGAATAGAAGTATATTAGTTACGTTTCGAAATTTAACTTGAAATAAATTTGGATAAACGGTTAGTACATGGAACTGTTTTTTTTTCTTAAGGTGGTCGATAAACGGCTATTCGGTTTGGTTTCAGAGGCAGATGGCACCATACACATTCTCATCATTTCTAAATAAACCGGGTTAATTATTGGCCCCTGGGCTAATGTAAATGATACCGTTATAGACACTGACATCAACCATTTTACACGAAAAAAATGGCTTCGGGACAATATTAATAGGAAAAGTGGCTCGGAAAAGTTCTGTCGTGACTGTTGAAAAATCTTAATGGGCATTTATTTTAAGTGTTCTGTTTCAAAACTTGTAAACATCGAGCCAGTTATGACGTGAATTCGCTCACATGCGTCACTCAATAGTCAAGTAAGAGCAAAGGAATTCACCCTCTAGAAAATTTGGTAACTTTCAAAAACTCAGGTTTTTTTCACGCAAAGCTCTGTCTGCTGTTTGTTTGAGGTTTTCCCCTATAACGTCTGAGATAACGCGTGACTCGGACTAGGACTGTGTGTAGGGCTAAATAAACAAAAGAGATGGGCTAAAGAAAGATTAGCAATCTCAAATCATCTAAGCATGTCCTGGCCTTGTACTTAAGTAGTCAAAGTGAACTAAGATACTTGAGCTTAAGAGAGTTTATGTACATCCCCGGCACGTGAGACTTGACCGCGATAATGGCTCTCCAATTCTGAGAAGAGTCAATCAAGAAACACTTTCAACGTGACTATGTTAGACTGACAACTAAGGAGCAGTATCAAAACCTTTTTTCAGTAAAAAAAAAGAAACATAAACAATTAAATTAGATCAAAATTCTTCAAATTTTACACGTTGAATGAGGAGGAGAAAGAATGCGAAGTCCTTTTTGTGCCCTGTCTGTCGATTTGGCTCACAATGAATCATTTCTACTTACTTTCAATGACAATCGCGTGATGTTCTATGTTTTTCGTTGCGTTTATGCTAGGTATTGAAATTCCCACCACTTATCCAGGAACGGAAATTTTCCTGAGTGCAAAGTTGATAGTGTTCACATTTTTACGTTACCTCGGCTGTAAGAACTGACAAAGGGTTAAGCCTCCTCGATAAAGTGTTTGTTTGTCTTGATCACAAAAATATCAATTTGTAAATGCGTCAATAACAATTGAACCAAAAAAAAAAAAGAAAAAAGGATCGTTGCTCTCAGTTTGAATTTGTCAGCAACCTTAAAAAGACTGAAGCAAAACAGGTTATTTTGTTTTCATCATCTTTTGCTGTGTCATGTCAACCTCGCGTGATGAACTGTGCTGGAAGCACGTCAAACGGTAGAAGTCACGCGAACTTTCAATGTCTAAACTCCTCGGGCAAACCTTGTTTTGAATTTGCAATCACTAGAGCAAAAGGTTATTGTTACACAGCATATTTTTTGCACTCTCTGCATTGCTAGAAAGTTTCTGTTTTTTAAAATATTCTATCAATTTCATACATTCATTGAAAAAGATGACAGAGAAACTGCATTAGCAAAAAAAGCGACCATCGAATACCTCTTACTTTAAAGGTCGCACTTAAAAATTTTATCCACAAGGTCAACCGCTGAAACATGATAAATTCTGAGAGAAAAGCCAGTGGGTGGAAATGGTTTTTAAACATTGAGTTGTAAATGGACAGGATTTTCTTCACTTATTTAACTCTAAATTTTTATCCTAGCAATGAATACTCGGAGGTCGATAGGCCGTAACATATACTTTGCGTTTCCCTGTGATTAGGGTCACCCCAACCGGACCGGCACTAAGTTACCACTCATATTTTGAACAACAACACTTCAGACGATCTTAGAATAACATCAGTGAGCGCACGCTATGGATGTCTTCACGTTTTGCCAGGTATGGCTATAATCAGTTGCACGAAAGTCGTCTAGTGCTCGGCTTGTCGGTACTTAACGTTAATCGCAAGGGCAATCACTGACTATTGTGAGGAATTTAAAAAACCAAATGGTTCTATTTAGTAATTAGTGATAATTTAGTAATGTCGTATTGGTCTAATTCAAAACGTGCGTACAGTCACATTTATTGAGCTGTGAGCTTTCTTTCAAATGCGTCCTTTTTGCGAAGGGGAGTTTTCCGGCTGACTTTTCAAGTAGTTTCTGTGCTGTAGCATTCTCTGCCTTTAAAGAGAAGGACAAGCACATTAAATTTCTTTGTTTTGAAGACCAAACTAATAGTATTGAAGCTTACATATAAATTGGTCATATGCACCTTGCATCTAACCGCGCGCGTTTTTCTCTTCACCTTGCCGATTTTAAGGGGAGGGGGGGAGGAGGTGTTGGGTTCAAAGTAGGCAGAATAGGTCGAGTGGCTGCTAAATTCTTATACATCCTTATAACCTAAATTACGTTTTACATATTGAAAATGTGTGAATTGGCTTCCTTAATTTAAGAAAAAGCTAATTCAAAGAGTTCAAAAGGCCGAAATCGTCTGTTATAAGCGGGCCACATACGGTGCAGGGAAAAGTAAAAATACATTTTGAAGGTGAACTTAATTAACTTAGAATATGTCCTCTTTTAATTAAATGTTTATTTGTACCTTTAACCTAATCCTAAAAGACAGTTGTAAGACTATTTACACAACTTAGAAGAGCAAAAGTAAGTATGACTTAATATTTGTACTGAAGAATTGTAGAGATGAAAATTATGTTTTGAAAACTGTTGCAAAAGCAAACGGCTAAATGCATTATTTCCACTGCTAGATTAAGGTGTTCAAAGAGGTGGTCGCTCTTCAAAACTAGTGACAGGAACTCAAATGGACATAGAGAGTGAGAAAATAGGATAGCAGTGCTTGACTTCAAGGAAAGAGGCTTAAAAACGTTAGACAGCTATTCCGTGATGCGTCAAGTTTCCAGAAAAAACGGAGGTCACATTCGGAAACAAAAAACACAGAAGGAAATAAGACCATCGATAAATCATATGCTCTCACGCACGCAGAGAAAACACAAAAGTGAATTGTTCACAAATTTCACCCAACCTTGCTTTGTGACTTTAAGGGCAGCACGTAAATAAAAAAAGCCGAATAACAAGAAAAAATGGATTCGTGCGCACCCTTGGACCCATATTTTCTCAACACCTGCTTTGACAAATCACGCGAGAGTTCATGTGAAAGGTCAGGCATTTGGAAAGTGTTTTGAAGAGAGTACAGGAATTATTGAAATTCCTTTTTTACGCAGCGATATAAATCCGCACAGAGCCGAGTCTAGCACAGATGGCGAAGTAGTGTATCAGTAGCAGCCACAGGTACGATTGCAGAGAACAAGATGCGAATTCACGCCGCGATGTTGCGACAGATGACAGCCGTGATGTCTTATTGCGCGGGAACGGTGTTACTGCTTTTCGCGTTTTTGTGCCTCCGTGTTCTACGCCTTCTTCCTTGGGGCAAATCAACCTGGGCCAAACTTTGGAAAATAGCAACAACAATCGACCTACCTATGGCAGACTACTGGAATTCACTGTTCACATGGCACATGTTTCAATCTGTGCGTGCTGCAATTTTGTGCGAACTGCAAAAATCTGCGCGGTTGGGACAGCGCGCTCCGAATCCCTCTGTAGTTACGTTAGACGGGACTTCACATCCTCATTTGCTGAACTTTTGCAGGGGAAACCGCCCACTCGTGCTAAATTTTGGCAGTTGGTCATGTCCTGTTTTTAGAGCGAGAACACAAGAGTTTCTCAGTATTGTGCGCCAATTCCGTGATGTGGTTGACTTCCTCACTGTGTACATAGAGGAGGCGCATCCTTCTAATGGATGGGCGTTTGAGGTAAGCACAAAAATCCCTCTTAAACTTTTTCCTTTCTCCAAGCGAAAGTAAAAGCTTTAACCGCGCAAAAGTGTTTGTATAACTGACAAGTTTCGGTAAGACAATTTATATCGCGAGAGAGGCGCTTGAAATTTTTCTGCTCATGCCTATGTACATATCAATAGCTTCCTCATATGCAAGGATAGAAATTAACGCATTCGTTTATCTTCCTTTCTAGAACAATGTTGTAATTCCCGCCCATGAAACATTGGGACAAAGATGTCAGGCAGCGCGACTCATGTTGAGTTCAGTAAAATTTGATTGTCCCGTTGTAGTGGACACAATGGACGATGAGGCAAGTAAGGCTTACGGAGGCCTGCCGATCCGATTGTATATTATAAAAAATAATAAAATAGAACTCGCTGGTGGGATGGGGCCAACGTTTTACGCCCCAAAAGAGGTGGAACAGTGGCTAAAGGATTATAGGGCAGAAATTATTAGAAGTGGCCGCCACAGGGCATGAAGCTGAAGACAACTGGCGAAGTACCCTCTTGTGTGCTAACAAGAGCTTTATCAGTTAACGACTTGGCTGCTATCCCATACAGAACGTCAAAGAAGAAGAACCACCATATTACATTGTTAAACATGCAGCTTATATTAAGCAAAGACCTCCTTCACTGAAGACATGCATCCGATGTATGTTAGCAATGACTATAACCAACGATTTACTCCGGTTCATACCTTCCGGCAAAGTAACATAGAAACTCGATTAGTATGAAGTTACCAGAGCCGGAAATTTTACACAACCAGAGAACATAGTAAGCTAGCAAGAAAATCTTTGTTCATACAAAGCCCGAGAGTATTTCAAAAATATTTCTTTTCGCATTTAAGGTTGGATAACAATGTTTTTAATTTCTAGCCAGATTTTGCACTTTGAAAAACAAAGTGGTTATTTTCCGTGTCCCTGTGTTTTGGCAGGGCGTTCGTAGCCCGGTTTGTTTGCTTAGCAGATGATCAAGCAAAGCGAGAGTTGTGGTCAGATATCTGCAGAAATAACGTCTTAGCTAGTCGCGTCAACTTTAATTCGCAGCTCAGAGATGTAAATACTAGTTGATTAAAAAATGTCTTTACACATTTTTGTCTTCTTTTGGGATCAATGGTTAGCTGTTTGTAATTAAGGATTGAACTTAAGTAAATAAGCGCGTGTCAGCCCTTTATAGTTTGTTAACATGTTAAATCATATTTTTTGTAGAGTTCACACTTTTTATGGCCAAAAATTCAGAGAAAATATTCAAGGATTCAATTTCAGCATGGCGCGAAAGTTATTCTCGTATTTTCTTATGGGAATTAGGATTTCTGTTTGGAGAGTTTATAAAAACGCCTTTATTCGCACTGTTAGTTCTGGTAGATCAAGTGAGTTTGCGTGCATTGGTTAAAGGTACATGTTGACTTTCCCGCCCCCTGTAGGCTAAGTCAACGGGAAGTCGGACGACCGAAGTGTCTCAAAGCGTATTGACTTGTTGTATCGTTATTAAATCCTCGGGTTTAGTCGGTGCCTGTACAATCCCCCAAAGTTTGAGAATTGCTGGGTAGGTCTTTGGAACGGTAATGACAACTAACATCACACGCGAATGAACCATTTACGGTCAACAAGCAAAAAAAAAAACACTTAATTAACATCATTGTGTTGAGACCTAAGGGCCGGAAGGCATTGGTAACTATTTAAATGTTTACAATTCCTTTGTGGAGGGTTTTCTGTAAATTAAACATTCAAATTAGCACCTTACGTTGGAAGCTGGCTCAATAAGGTTTATTATGCAACCTTTTGGCCCTTTTAAAGAACTAATTAAAGATGTGTCAATTTTTTTGGCGATAGCTGATGTAGTTTCAATTGTTTAATATCCTCTTCCTCGAGAAGTTTTTTTCCCAGTTAATACATCATGAACCTATCTATCTTCTGAAATACAGCTCGATAATTGAGCAATGGAGATATTTTTCGCGTGAACATCTGATAAAACCCGTATCGTGACTTCTGCACTATAAATGACGTTTATGTTTCTCTTGTCAGAAAGTAACAGGTGAATGATCACCAACATTGAATGATGAAACAGTGAAATATTGACGGCATCAGTCCACAAACAAAACAACATTAAGTGAGAAAAGGGCAATCAATTTGCGATAATTTGCTGCTCCCACGTCCCCGCCCCCTCCCCCCAAAAGAGGCGATCGGCGTAAAAATGATAAATTGTCGTATATGATGCTATTAAATTTGGCAAGTAGTTTCGCAATTCTTGATAAAAGTGGTAAATTAGTGTTGCCGTACTGGAGCCCTATCGTCGGACACTTGTCAACTAAGTCCAAACAATTATCAGCAAATGTTTAAGAAGCCCTTGAGATGATCTGACGGGAGAAGTTGCCATAATAAACGGTATTTTAATTAAATTCAGGTGTGTGCCTGAACATTTACGAGTTCGTGTACCGTTTGCTTAATCTACAATTCAAGTATTTTTAGCACAGTAGGAAGTTTTGTCGCCCACAGATTGCGTGATTGTACAAAAATTGCATGGCATGGCTACTCAAGCAGGACTTGACTATCTGTGCGTACTGTGGAAATCACGCGATCATTAAAGTTCTACCCATTGGGTATAAAAGGCAATGATTCATAATGATAATAAACATTATCATTAGTTATCGTTAATAATCAATAAATAATGACAAACATAACGACGACGATTACTATTATCGTTAAATGTTTTATTAATAGAAACATCACTGAAACAACTCGACAGGATTATTTGGCATACTATGAACAGTAATTTGTTTCCGCTGGGAAATTAGGGTTGTGCTAGCTGGGTACCTGATTCTTTAAATTTTAGTAATCTGAAGAAGATAAGGGTGCAAGCCGGGTGCAAGAGTGCATGCGCAGTGAGTGAGAGTAATCTTCTTCCAACTTAACAGTAGGGCCCGGGATTTGAATCCCGGAAGTGATCGAAGGGACACGTAGGATGACTTTGTTGTTCGTTCAAGCCTTTGCGTCTAGAAGTTTTTCTCCAAGAACTGCGGTTTTCCAAATTCCAATTCTATCAGGAGTGATATACAGTAAAATCCCTCTAAGATCAGCACTGTCGGTATGTGTCTGTCTCTGAATACAGAAAGGCACGGACCAGATCCAGGTGTCCGTCTTATCGAGGTGTCTTGTGTCCGTTAAAAGAGGGTTGACTCTGGACGAAGAACAACTGTGTGAATGTGCTACCTGTACTTAATCACCATTTATTATAACATTTATTTGTTAAGGAACTACAGGCTTTCCGATCCTTATGCTTCTCTCGGCGTGCGTTTCTCAAAACTCTCGAAAACATTTCGGTCGCGAAAAACTATTCAAGTGCACAAAGTTTATAAGAAGAAGTGTCATTTTTAATAAATTTCGAGGGGTAAAATTGGAAGTCTTTACGACTAAACTGAAGGATCGTTAGCGAAAAAAACACTTTCTGGGCCCGACTTGTGAAATGGATGCCTGGCTCAAAAAAAGGTACAATTTTAATGCCTTCTCTACTAGAGACAATGATGAATTATTTTGCTTTAAAGTGGTTCTAACGTTTGAGTCGGTCGACGAAATCCTGCGTTGTGATCATTCATATGGAACGTCATTGCCAGTACCTTCACATGGTGCCTTTTGCTTTTCAAAATATTACCCAATGAAATCTGGAAATTTAGTTGAATTTTGACTTTGCATTGGTTACTCTTGGGAAAGGGTTCGGGGAGAAAAGTAGTTATACCAATATTGCGCTTAACACTACCCTCGGCAAAATTGTTTAAACCAACTACTGACAAGCCACACGAACGTCTTCACAAATGCTAAAAGCCATGCCAGAAAGAAAGTCCTGCTCGCAGGGTAGCTTAACACCAACAAGAAATGGAAACAATCTGAAAAATTTCTAGTGCTTAAAGAGACGTTTTTCAATTGTATGATAAGGTCTGGAATAATCAGTGTTTGCGTGGGCATACGTAACAATCAATGCAAAATAATTTTAATCAAAAGAGACAACCACTTTTCTAAGGACAGTCCTTCATGACCGAAGTCAGTTACAAAGTATCCACACTGTACACAGTATAAGCTTTTTTCTGACTAATAGAGTAACTCGATGTCTCTCGATCTCTCTTTCACGCCTTATTTTTGATCGATTTTATTTTTCCTGTCCAATTATCCAGTTTGGAGTCAATTTTGGAGCACATTAAAGTAGGGAAATACACAAAGTTTCTGTTAACAGGGATTAGTAAGGCTGGAAAAAATTACCGTTTTAAACTGATTTTGTTATTAATATGTTCACTACGTGATGTAAACGCAACAAATGTTTCATTAGAAGTGTTGCTAATTGCCCAATCTTAGGTGGAAATAAACTAAATACTTAAAATTGTAGCCGCATGGAGTCTGTCCTTTCTTGCACGAGGTATTTTACGACCCGTTGCTTGGAATTTCGAAATAGTAGTTGTTTAACAGCACCGATCTTTTCAAACATTGTCACCAACAACCATACAGACTTGCCTTGGCTATGAAACAAATCCTTGTCTTTTTATCTAAAAAGCACAGGTTTTTCCAGGAAAGAAAATTACTAGCCAAGGCTCTTTGAGCGATAAAAATGTTAAAAATGTTTGTTTTCCACTTTGTTTTGCTCAAACGTGCGGCTGTTTAACTACTGAAATTGAGAGAAGATAGTTTTCGTAATGTGTTGTTTTCGATGGTCTAGACTTCGTTTATTAATTTGACTTTGTGTTAAAAAAGCAGTCTTTGGCACAATGAGCTAGTCAAGGTTTTTGACAGACGTTCTGACTGTTGAAAGCATTCAAGAGTTTAGGGTCAAATAACTTCCGACTCTGCAAAACTAGCCTCGCTCACGAAAGGGAGAAAAACTAAAGCCGTGTGGCAGGTTTACGCAAATGAAGAAAACTGACGACCAAATCGGTCTTTGAAACAAAGCCATCAGCTAATAAAAAACCAACTAGAATATTCTATCATCCTGATTTGCTTGTTCCTGTGTTTAGTGTAAAAATAATATCAACTCCTTCTCTAACTGTTTACAAACAGTGCGTCTTCGCGAGCACGCAAGAATTTATTGGTCAGGTGAGCATTTTTTTTGTGTGTGTTAGGAAATTGCCCAATAGGAAATGATCAGCACTTTAATCGAGATGAAAACAACAAGGCTGTAAAGCCTCCGAAAATAGGTTTTATGTTTAAGGCATTTAGCATGTTATTTATCGAGGTATTTTTTTAATCATACTTCTTTTACTTACGTAAACGTTTGAATCCAATTTATTAGTCTGTGGAAGCGAATTTATATATTCCTTCAAAACTGAGGACTTTTCTCATCGCAACGTTTTCCAACATTTTACTAGATGGAATTTGCAAATGTTTTTGGTTCAAGTTTTTATTTAACGAAGGACTCTTGAAAGTCAAGGTTACAGAGCGTACAGCTGTTCAATGATTTTATCATCGTGGGAGGCTAGATAAGAAGCTACTCGAGAAACTACCGTATACTCGAAATTCAACGCTGACCTTGTTTCGATTCTATGCATTTGGCAACGATTTGTTTACACAGTTATATAACGTTGCTAATCTTAGGGAAAACCAAAAAAACAGCAAATAAAAATATAGCACTAAGAAAACTGGAAAAAAAGCTTTGTCTCCAAAGCACCTTATGAAACCCCATTAGAGGCTTACATTAAATTGAAAAAATAAACGAATTGAAATAAAAAAAGTTAATGATAACAAGAAATTTTAAGTGTTTTCCGCATTTGAATTATTCTCTTCACAAATGACTGCAATTTCCAATCACTAAATCTACTCTGCATGTTAGTTAACCTCTCAGAAACGGGTCCTCCTTTCCCTTATACGTGCTACAATTAAAATGGGATCTCAGCATGATTCGGCCCTAGTTCGGCGTAATGAAGATGTTTGCCAAGATGAAATCAAACTCCAAGTCTGTCTGAGTAAGTAAAAGGCGCAAGAAATGTATGCCTCAGAGAAAGATTCGAGACAGAAAGAAAATAGAATCCATAAGCCCAAATATACTTTAACAAAACACCGGAAGGTTTACAGGCCAGATTGATCACGTAAGATAACGTTAATGATAATAATTATATAATGAGACTCACGTAGTGTTGTAAAAGACATACAAAAGAACAGTCGGACAGCACATGGAGGCAGTTACAGCCAAAAAAGTCACGCGAATGTAGGAAAATATCATGCTATCGCTTAGACGGATATATGCGGATTACAAAATTAAACAATCAAATTCCCCTACGACTTTGGAAGAAGAACGACACTTTCTGAACTTAAAACTTCGAAACTGATTTATCTGTTCCTTTCAGCACAGTATTTCTCGGGCACTACTAAGTAAATGATCAAACATTTGTCTATTTCACAATCCACACGTTTCATCACCGGAAATTGTTTATTTTCTTTCAGCACATTTTGCCAAGAAATAAGACAAATTTGTAAAATAAACTTTGTGGCAAGATCACAGCTGTACAGCTGTAGCTGGAGGA